GACCTCAGGTGATCTGCCTGCCTTGGCCTTCCAAAGTGCTGGGATTATAGGCATGAGCCACTGCACCGAGCCAGCAAAGTGAATTTAAAAGTACATCTGGAAGGATATATAATAAATTTTAAAGTGTTTGACAAAGAATAGTGGGGAGAAATTTGCTTTATCAGATGTTGAACTACATTCTAGTGCTCAAATTATCACTATTCTGGCCATCACTGATGTGATGGTACCATCTTTCTGGAGTCTTTAAAAACTGACTTCCCTTAGATCCAGCAATTTTACTGTCAGGATTTATCCTGAGTAAATAATTAGACGAGTGCATAAAAATGCACAGAGAACATTCTATGCTACTGCCAGCAACTGGAAAGCACCTATAAGACTAAAAATTAGAAACCAGTTAAATAGATCACAGTATAATGGAATCCTACGCAGTAACTTAAAATTATGAGGTAGTTTAATAGCTACTGATACAAAATACAATAACACGGTAAAAATAAACACTGAATTGTATAATTCTCTATTCGTAAAAAGTAGTATTTATCTGGGGCTGGGCATGGTAGCTCATGCCTACAATCCTAGTACTTTGGGAAGCCAAAGCAGGCTGATTGCTTGAGCCCAGGAGTTCAAGACCAGTCTTACCAACAGAGGGAGAATCCATCTCTACCAAATTTTTGCATGGTAGCATGTACTGTGGCTCCAGTTAGTCGGGAGTCTATGGCAAGAGGATATCTTAAGCCCAGGAGTTTGAGGCTGTAGTGAGCTATGATCATGCCACTGTACTTCAGCGTGGGTAATAGAGCGAGACCTTGCCTCTAAAAAAAGAGGAAAAAAGGTGGGAGACGGTGGGTCACTCTGAGTGCCACCTCACGGGCCTTCAGTGTGGTATTTCTGTTTACCATCCATATACAGCTACACCAACACTGACTCATCAGGCCTGCCAAATAGCACGAGGACTGTGCATCCACTTACTGGAGAGGAGATCTATCTTAGAGGAAAACTGAATGCAGGCGACAATGGCAGGAAAGAAAAGGGAAGCCAGGAGACAGGAACAGACATGAGTGGAAAGGTAACTTCAGGCTTGGTGATAAAGCAAGTGGTCAGGAAAACTTTTTTTTAAGACGGAGTTTTACTTTTGTTGCCCAAGCTGGAGTGCAATGGTGCAGTCTCGGCTCACAGCAACCTCCACCTCCCAGGCTCAAGCCATTCTCCTGCCTCAGCCTCCTGAGTAGCTGGGATTACAAGCATGTGCCACCATGCCCGGCTAATTTTGTATTTTTAGGAGAGACAGGGTTTCTCCACATTGGTAAGGCTGCTCTCAAATTCCCAACCTCAGGTGATCCTCTCGCCTCGGTCTCCCAAAGTGCTGGGATGACAGGGGTGAGCTACCACGCCGGGCCTGGGAGAAGAACTTTTTAAAAGTGTCAAGAGGTGGTGGCACATGCCTATAATCTCAGCCACTCAGGAGGCAGAGGCAGGAGAATCGATTGAACCTGGAAGGTGGAGGTTGCAGTGAGCCGAGATCACCCACTTCTTCCTTAGGTAAACCCTGTGCTTCTGTCAATCTGGACTCCAGGATGTGTTCCACACACAGGCATTTATATCCTGCCTCATGTTTCTGGCCATGCCTGAATGCTCTGAATGCTCTATTTAGATTGCAGAAGAGAGAAAATTTTACTCATGAAGCACCAGTGCCTGGGCTGCCCATAGCAACCTCAGAATGGTGAGCCCACCATTTCCTTCTTCCAGTATGCTGTCATGGCTCCTCCCAGGTACGTTGATGGAAGTCAGCCTGCCCTCTGCTGTAACCATAACGGGCTGCACTGAAGACCAAGGTGACCACACTCTGTTTGGACATCTGGGAAACGAACTTCCCTGGGAATGCTTGGTTTGTAACTGTCCAACTGGAGAGTTCTCAATTTGAAATTTGATGGCAGCCAAAAAACCTACATAGCTCCTCTCTCTCTTTTTTTTTTTTTTTTTTTTTGAGATGAAGTCTTGCTCTGTCACCCAGGCTAGAGTGCAGTGGCACAATCGTGCAACCTCCGACTCCCGGGTTCAAGTGATTCTCCTGCCTCAGCCTCTTGAGTAGCTGGGATTACAGGTGCGCAACAACACGCCCAGCTAATTTTTGTATTTTTAGTAGAGACAGGGTTTCATCATGTTGGTCAGGCTAGTCTTGAACTCCTGACTTTGTTATCCACCTGCCTTGGCCTCCCAAAGTGCTGGGATTACAGGCGTGAGACACCACGCCCGGCCCCATAGCTCCTCTAAGAAGTGTCAAGGGGTAAGGAGGGGCTACTCATATTCTAGTGAATATGTGAGTTGTAATTTCGGTTCTCCCCTAGGCTCTACATCTTAGTCTTAGCTTGTCCCATATTTCCGAGTATTCTTGCAATAAACTCCCAAAGACAACATGGGCGTGTATTTTCTTGCAGCCTCAACAGCTTAAATCAAGTGCTCTCTCCACTGATTTCTGAGACACGTGTACAAAGACGTTGGTGGATGCACTGTTTGTAATGACACAATAAAATGTGTCCACTAATACGGGCTGGTTAAGTAATCATATTCATCAAATATAAGACACATCCCAATTTCAAAGACATTAAAATATCAAATTGCCTACAGTAGTTACATGATGTAGCTGATTGTTCTAATGTGAAAAATGTAGATCTTAGATTTGGAGAACCAAGGTATGGTGTATTCATACAGTGGAATATTTTGCAGCTGCGGTAGGTAATGACACAAGATGAGGCTTGGTGGCGGACATCTGCTTCAGAAATGGGCAGGGGGAAGCTTATGGGGGTGAGCAGAGCAGTAACTCCACATGAGACCATACCTCAAGGTGTCACAAAAGGAGGTGGGGGTCGTTTACCTGTAACAACCTGTGCTTGAAAGTGAACAGTCTTAAACTAGTTGGTGAACACATGCATACAGTTTAAGTATTTTTAGAGCTTTTTTTTTTTTTTTTTTTTTTTGAAACAGTTACTCTGTTGCCAGGCTGGAGTGCAGTGGCATGATCTCAGCTCACTGCAACCTCTACCTCCTGGGTTCAAGTGATTCTCCTGCCTCAGCCTCTCTAGTAGCTGGGATTACAGTGCACGCCACCACGCGTGGTTAATTTTTTGTATTTTTAGTAGAGACGGGGTTTCACTGTATTGGCCAGGATGGTCTCGATCACTTGGCCTCGTGATCTGCCCACCGCAGCCTCCCAAAGTGCTGGGATTATAGGTGTGAGCCACTGCACCCAGCTGCTTTTTGTATGTCTAAGATATGTTATACATTTTCCCCCCCAGATGGAGTTGCTCAGGCTGGAGTGCAATAGCTTGATCATGGCTCACTGCAAACTCCGCTTCTTGGGTTCAAGCAATTCTCCTGCCTCAGCCTCCCCCAGTAGCTGAGATTACAGACACCTGTCACCACACCTGGCTAATTTTTGTATTTTTAGTAGAGACAGGGTTTCACCATGTTGGCCAGCCTGGTCTCAAACTCCTGACCTTGTGATCTGCCCACCTCAGCGTCCCACAGTGTTGGGATTACAGGCGTGAACCACCAAGCCCAGCAGATAGGTTATACATTTTCCTTTAAGTGAGCCTAGCAACCTGCTTTATCTCCCCCGTTTTGTGGGAGACCTTGTGTTCAAGTGACAGCTAAAAAAATCAATTCTCCACCAGTCGCAGTGGCTCAAGTCTGTAATCCCAGTACTTTGGGAGGCTGAGGCAGGTGGATTATCCGAGGTCAGGAGTTTGAGACCAGCCTGGCCAACATTGTGAAACCCCATCTTTACTAAAAATACAAAAATTAGCCGGGTGTGGTGACAGGTGCCTGTAATTCCAGCTACTCAGGAGGCTGAGGCAGGAGAATCGCTTGAACTAAGGAGGTGGAGGTTGCGGTGAGCCGATAGTGCCAGCGCACTCCAGCCTGGGCAACAGACTGTCTCAAGGACAAAAAACAAAACAAAAAGACAAGAAAAAATCAATTCTATAACTAAACGAGTTGAGAGAAACATTCACTGTCCCTTATCTCTACAAGTTATTAGAAAAAAAAGAATTCCGGCAACATCAGTCATGGGCACAAAGCCAACCCGCAAACATTTACAGAACTCGATGATTACCCAAAACTCTGCTGCTTTCTCAATACTATCGACTTTGGCTTCACACTAGCCACAGGTGTGTCTAGAGTTAAATAAGGTCAACGTTACAAAAAAAAAAAAAAAAAAGATATTTGGACAAAGTTCAAAAAAAACTTTAAAGTGTGTTTGTGGGGAGGTGGACGGGGCATTTCAGTATAAATGCCTTAAACACAACCTTCCTGGCTATTTTATAAGGTGGGTCGAATCTTTAAGTGCATATATTTCCTAAGACCTCGACTGATACAAAGAACGCAAGCTTTGGGGCCAGACTAGACCGCCTGAGAATCGTGCCAGCTGTGTGGCACTGGAAAGTCACCTAACTTTGCAGCGCCTGCCTTCACCTCTGTAAAATGGGAAACAACTAGTTTATGGATGCCGTAAAGATATGAAATTTTAAACTCAGCAATGTACCTGGCACACATTAGACACGGGTGTTTGGTCTGTTTTGGTACAGGCTTTGGGTTTTGCGCAATAGCCTTGCTCCCTCCGGGGAAAGCATCTCTCCTTGCTCCCTCTGGGGCATTTAAAAAACGATCTCAACTCTATTTTCAGTTCAACATTTACGCGCAGGTTACAAAGCCGAGGAAGCCGAGGCTCTAGCCTTTGACTATCTTGTAAACCAACACAACACGTACAGAATTTTAAGTTTTGGTGGAGGAATCGGATGCACAAGGCAAGTGGCGCTCTGTCCACAGACCTGGTTATCAGAACTCTGCGCGCCGCGGCCTCCAGGCGCCTCTCCGCTCCCAGCAAACTTCCTGCCGCAGGGGGAGGGCCGCTACAAAAAGCCGCAGGACCCCCTCGCCCCGCCTTGCCTCCCCCCGCTCCCACTCTCTAGGATGGTGGGGCGAACGGTCTAGGCGACAGCACTTACCAGCACGAAGTGCACCAGCGCGTCGTAGCAGAGCCAGACCAGCGCCCAGCGGTCCGCCGCCCCCCGCCCGCGGCCCAGGAGCAGGCCCAGGGCGCAACCCGCCGCCAGCAGCGCGGCGCACAGCAGCAGAGAACCGCCCGCCGCGGCCCCCAGCTCCCACCTGTCGCCCATGCTTCCCGCTCCCGACACCGACAGCACGGGACCACGCGAGAGTAAAGGAGAGCCGGGAGACAAACGATGGGGCAGGACTGACCGGGAAGGGGCAGAGCCGGATCGCCCAGGAGGAGCGGAGCTGATTGGCCAAAGCTGTCCGGGGAGGGACGGGGCTCCTCGACCGGGGCGGGGCCGGAGCAAGGATTCCCTGCCCACCTCGCACCCTGCCATTCTGCTGAGCCCAGAGGTTTTGCCAGGTCCAGCTGATGGAGGTTCGTACTCACCAACTTGTTAACTGCCTCGACCAAACCTGTTCCTGAACCAAGCCCAAAGAATTGGTAATAGGGCCACACCTTTTGATGATTGATTTTTAACAAAAGCGATACGTTAAGCTACAAAGTGAAGCACAGGTAGTGGAAATTTTGCCAATAGGCCAGAGGCAGAATTTTGGAGGCAAAAGGTTTTAATTAGGCTCTTGCAAGACTTACCAAGGAGGTGGGGGGCCAAGGGTGTTTTCAGCCTCCAGCGGGCTTAAAGCTTTTGTGGCCTACTCTGACATCTTTCCATTTCTTAAAAACCCAGAAAAGTAGCAAAAGTGTGGGTGAGAGGAAGGGTAAATCCTATTGGCTTGGCGCTAGATGCCTTTAATCTGTGGCAGGCCAGGTCTCACTAACGCAGGCCTCCATCACAACTGTTTCAGTACTGATTGGTTAACTTAAATATTAAAAGCTAAAAGAGCCAGTGCCCATTTACAAAGGCTGGAATGTAATAAAAGTCCACTGAGAGTTTTGCCTAGGCCTTCCCTGGGCCTTGAAGCATGAGAAGATAACTAAGGAATTCTTAATATGACCTGTTTGAGATTAAACAAGTTTTATTGGGGGTCTGAAGAAACTCCTTAAACCTCCGTGATTTAGCAGGAGACAAGATAAGGATAATAATCCAAGCACCTGGACCCATTTAGATTAAGTAAGTTTACTGAGGCTCCAGAGGAAGGTCTTAAGGACTCAGATCTTGCAGATTAGAAATTGTTAATCAGTTATGGCTTCAGATGAATGCACACTTATATGTAGATATATAGTTTAGAATTTGCTCTGGAAAAACTTGGTAATTTTGAGTTGGTCTGGTGATAATTTCCAGGCCTTTTCTCTGTAATCAGTTGCAGAAATAAAAACTCTCTTCTTCCCCAGTTCATCTGCATCTTGTTATTGGGCTGCGAGAATAAGCAGCCCGACCCCCAGTTTGGTCCAGTAACAAACCTACATTATTCTATTTAACTTCACAACAATCCTATGAGGTTGGTGAAATAAGCCAGTCACAAAAAGATACTTAAGATTCCACTTACAGGAAATGTCTAATCAATTTGCAGAAACAAAATAGAATGGTGGCTATCAGGGGCGGGGGCATGGGAGGGGTAAGAGAGGGAAGTGGAGTGTTATTTACTGGGATAGTTTCAGATTTGCAAGATGAAGTTCTGGAGATTGGTTGCACAATAAGAACATACTTTACTGAGCTGTACACTTAAAAATGGGTAAGATGGCAATTTTTGTGTGTATTTTACATTTATAAAAATATTGCTGGCCAGGTGGAGTGGCCCACACCTGTAATCCCAGCACTTTGGGATGCTGAGGCGGTGGATCACGAGGTCAAGAGATTGAGCCCATCCTGGCCAACATAGTGAAACCCCGTTTCTACTAAAAATATGAAAATTAGCTGGGTGTGGTGGTGCGTGCCTGTAATCCCAGCTCCTTGGGAGGCTGAGGCAGGAGAATCGCTTGAACCTGGGAGGTGGAGGTTGCAGTGAGCCAAGATGGCACCACTGCACTCCAGCCTGGCAACAGAGTGAGATTCTGTCTCAAAAAAGAAAGAAAAGAAAAAAGGAAAAAAAACTGCTGGCACTGAACACAAGTTGAAGACTTTTGTTTCCCCACTAGTCACTTCCTATACCACTTTTTAGAGCAGTTAAACCAGATAGAATGATCTTTATGCACTTATTGCTAGCCTCTTGCCACTAACAATATAAGTCAAGGCCAGGGCCTGTGACTAGCTTTTTTAGTGCTGTATCCCTGGCATCTATTACAGAGTCTGTCATATAGTAGCTGCTCAGTTAAATAACTGGTGACTGAGTATGGCCAATCTAGCCACCAATGCTCTGTATTGTGCTGTAAGTAACTAGCCACCCATTAGGGAACATACTGCCCACCTCCCCTTGGGAGCAAAATAGAAACTTAATAAAAAAACTGATCAGATCCCTGTCTTGTCTTGACACTGCTCCTAGTTCCTGCCTTATCACACTGATGCAGCTCTCACTAAGGTGACTACTGGCTTCCACATCACTGAACCCAAAGAGCAGTTCCTTTTCTTAAGTTTACTTCTCAGCAACATCACTGGGCACTGAAATATTTTTCCTTTGGTTTTCTGAGAGCAGTCTCCTTGGCCATTCTGTTTCCTTTGCAAATGCATCTTCCACTACAAAAAGCCAGTGAACAACACAGTCCAGGCCCTGTTCTCATTCCCAGATCCAGGCAATCTCATCCTTACCCTCTGCTTTAATGACCAGCAAAACTGGTAGAGAACTCAAATCTTTAGCCTGGTCCTCTTCTCTGGACTCCAGTATTTTCAACTGCCCTACTGGACAATCATTTGGATGTCTCGACACAACCCAAACTGAGCTCATCACTTTCCACCCCATATCTGATTTTCTATCTCATGTTACTTCCACTCATCAATTAACTTCCACTCATCAGTTACTACAACCCAGAAACCTAGAAATCATCCCCAATACTTCTCTCTCTCCAAATTTTGTATCTAAGGCATCACCAACTCCTGTTTCAGCAGCCAAGAATCTCTTGATTCCATGCATTTCATGGACCAATTTATTCACCATCTCTTGTGTCTGTGCTTCATTCACTAACATGATGTGACCAGCAACTTCTATGTCACTAATTCAGAAAGACATTTCCTGTCCTTAGCTTTACCAACTAGTAATCCTTATTCATCTATCATCCCTTTGCTTAATGATTTTCCATATAGAATACCAAAATCCTTTTCACAGCTTACTAGACTGTGAGGTCTGGCCCCTCCTTATCTCTTTAGCCCTTTCCCATTCCCCTATTAATCCTTCTCCCCATTATAATCTTTGATCTAGCTACACTTGCCTTCTTTCACTTCCTCAAATGTCCCATGGTGCTTCCCACAAGGCTTTGCCTAGACTCTTACCACCGCTGGAAAGCTTTTCCAGTCAATCTGCTCTGTCAACTCCTGCCTTTTCACCACGACCAGTGAAATTTTGGCTGGCACTTTTTAAGGGCTCAACATTAGCCTGGCTATCACTTTCCTCAGTAGCCAATTTCCTCTACTATGTATTTTATATCATTTTGTACCTTTTTTTCTAACATTTGTCAAAACTTGTCCTCTTTGATTCCTGTTATTTTTACAAGTATCCTGTGCCATAGCACAGTACCTGGCATGGAATAGAGTACTCAGTATTCAAAATGTTCTGAAGACTTAGAATTCTAATGTAAACAAGACTGAAGACATCAAAAGGATACATATGTAGACTGTGATCTCATTATGAGTAAAACTGGGCTGAAGTAATATGAAATTTGTTGAGAGTTGAGAAGGGTAGATGCCTAATGATTTGGGTTAAAGAGAGCTGACGATAAAGAGGGCTGAGGCTGTGACTTGATCACAAATCTAATTATGATGAAGCTGGTAAAAAAAAACTGAAATTATCCCCCCACATTGATAGAATGAAGTGTCCAGATAATGGAATGTTCCCATTCATTCCAGAGTACCCAGAAACCAGTCGCACCACACTCCTTATTGTTGGAATCCTTGGAGTGCATCAAGTTGACAGGAACCAGGTCCAACAATGACTTTATAATGAGAATGGATGAAATGCCAGGGGTGTATGGTGGAAGAAGAGAGCTGATTTAAAAAATGGGTGAGTCTCCTCTGCTGTCTGGAAATAACAAAGGCTACTCCCAGTCAAAAACAGTTAATTTATGATGGACACTTAAGAAAATATCTTTTTCTTTTGAGACAAGGCCTCACTCTGTGGCCCCGGCTGGAGTTCAGTGGCATGGACTCAGCTCACTGCAGCCTCTTGCCTTCTGGGCTTAAGCAATCCTCCCAACTCAGCCTCCAGAGTAGCTGGGATTACAGTCATGTGCCACCAGGCCCTGCTAATTTTTTAAGTATTTTGTAGAGATGAGGTCTCACCATACTGCCCAGGCTGGTGTTGAACTCCTGGGCTCAAGCGATCCGCCCACGCTGGCTTCCCAAAGTGCTGGGATTACAGGTGCAGGCCACTGCGCCTAGGTTAAGAAAAGATCTTGTAGCAAGCAAAGCTAGCCAATAAAGTAATACAGGCGCCCTTGGAATGAGTACCTTGTTTTTCAAACTCTTCTGACTTACTCCTGGAGGAATGTTTCCATAAAATTCCCTGCCTCAAAAATCTGATTTTATATTGCAAACATTATGTAAAACGTATACTTTATAACACTTCGGCTTGTATTACCAATAAAACTTTTACTTACCACCTAGTAAAGTCGCTGTCCCATGAAGATGTTCCTTACGTTATGGCTTCTTACATTATTTGGCACAAGGCCCCGCACATCTTTGGGTACCACAGTTTAAGAGAATTCCTCAAGAAGGTGTATGGCAATTTGCTAAGGTAGGGAAGGGGGATGCTGTAAAAGAAATTCCCTGCAAAGGATACTTTCTTTATGGCATGGCTCAGTCATAGTTTCTCTGTTTTTAATCATTTAATAGATGATTGTAAATTTTTTGATGGGGCCAATCTCTCAACAATGCTTCAAGAAGTGGTCTTCAAACTATGCTATGATTTTCTAGTCCAACTCCAGTTTTCCCTAGATAACTTAAAGATTTTCAACTACAAATGTCTGAAAAACACTGTGATTGGGTGTTGAGATTTGGGCAATTAACACATTTGATTGTTTTACAACACTGTTTTTTAGCCACAGGACAAATTTAAGAGGCAACTAGTTGCTCCATATTTCTTTCTCTTTCCCAAGTCCTTTGCCAAGTTCAGTACTACTTGGAGTTCCTTACGGATGATTTGGGGAATTAGTTTAGGCCTGCCTCCAATCTTTCCTAAAACTCAGAATGAAGACAAGGCACATTTTTGTCTCCTTTTTTCATCTTATGCATCTGAGGAAAGCCTGGGACTGTTCACACAACAAAAAAGTCATGATTTAGGCTGTCTCATTTGAGTGGAGTTTTCTATAGGAATTGATTTAGGACAGTAGTTTACAATCAAGGATGGCTTAAGGCCCCCAGGATGGCAATTTCTGTAGTTGTCTTGACTTGGGAAGAGGAGAAAGGTGCTACTGCTATCTCTCCTCTCATCCCTTTAGCCCAGGGATGCCACTGAACATCCTACAGTGCACAGGGCAGACAACACATAACATAGAATTACACAGCCTAAAATGTCAATAGTGCAGGGTTAAAAAAAACCCCAACATAGGCCTAAGTTAGTTGACGGATTTTATGGGCAAACAGTGGCATTAAGTTGCATTCCCACATCCCTTTTCCCACACATTATTTATCATACTTTTGGAGAATAATTCTATCACTGTTTTTCAGCTGTCTAAACAAGTACAACATTTATACTCACAGGTTCATATATAGAAATTATACTTCCATTCCCCCAAAAAGATTTAAGTGAACTTCCTCAGTTTAGGGCTTAAAAAATTCAGTATCACTGTAAAACAACAGACATTCATGAATGTCAGTTACTCTTGTTTGCCTGTTTATCCTCATTAATCCCCTGAAATGGGTGACCCTTCTTTAAAAATTTTTTTCATGTAAAAGTAGAGTTTTTTAAAAGATGGGGTCTTGCTGTGTTGCCCAGGCTGCTCTCAAACTCCTGGGCTCAAGTTACCCTCCTGCCTCAGCCTCCCAAGTCACAGGAGCTACAGGTGTCTGCCACCACACCCTTCAGGATGACCCTTCTGAAAGAAATGATGGCAAAATTGTATGAGTACTATCACATTTATTTACTTATACACCAACCTCATTAAAAAATAATTTGAAGTGGCATTATACAAAAGTAAGCATTTCTATACTCAAAAGTTTGTCTGCTCCTTTGTTCTTTTAATTAATTCAAGATTTCATTTAGTGACATAACCTTTACCTAACTGGTTAAAACTTTTAGGCTTGCTCTGATTACTATTTTCCATAGTTACTTGTTTTCAAGGGTTAGCCAGGTCTTTTTAAGTTTGATTTTTTGTTTCATGAAAGTCATAATCATATCATCTCAAATAAATGGCCTTTTTCTAAGTTATAGTATTTAAACCTGAGACACTAGGGAGAATGCCATGTAATGACAGAGGCAGAGACTGGAGTGATGCAGCTGCAAGCCAAGGAATGCCAAGGATTGCCAGGAACCACCAGAAGCTAGGAAGAGGCAAGGAAGGATCATCACCATGAAAGCCCCCAGAGACAGCCTGGCTCAGCCATCACCTCTATTTCAGACTTCTGGTCTCCAGAACTGGATGATAATATATTTCTATTGTCTGAAACCACCTGGTTTGTGGTACTTTGTAATGGCAGCTTAGGAAGCTAATAGAGATTTTGGCAATTCTTATTTATCACAGAATAGTCCCAAACCTAGCAGTTATTGATCATCCTGGTTTGTTAGAGTTGAGATGGAGCAGGAACCCCTCATAAGGGCCTGCCAGGTGCCCCCCAAGCATGGAAATAAAGGAAAACCTTGAGTTCCTTCAATGGAAATTCCAGGCACCTAGCTAGCCCTATGACTTAAATGAGCACCTTAATAAGCAAGAAGGTAATAGTAGCTTAAAACAATAGCCAAGGAAGTCACAGGATGTTTGGTTCCTTATAGAAACTAAAGATAACACCTTAACATATGTCCCTGAGTTGTTCTTCAGAAACCTGGACCCCCCCACCAAATGGATCCACTGGCCAGGGAAGGGGGAACTGAGGTCTGAGCTCTGACTGCCATTCTCTGTTCTAAATGTCTTCCTGAGGGGCCTATAGGAAGTCACCCATGGGGCAGGCCTAGCATTCTTTTCTGCTGACCTCAAGTTTTTTGACAAAGCTATGTTCCCTTAACCAACTGCAAATAAGAACATCTTTGAATTCACCTATGACCTATAAGTCACCCCCTGCCACCCTCGGCTTCAAGACAGCCTACCTTTTTAAGCCAAATCATTGTGTAACCTCCATGTATTGATTTACAATTTTGCCTGTAACCTCTGCTTTCCTGAAATTCACCCCTGCCTTTAAAAACATTTGCTTGCAAAGCCATGAGGGAGGTTGGGTCTTAAGTGTGAGCTGCCTCAATTTTCTTGCTTGGTGCCCTGCCTGCAAATAAATGTCACCCTTTTTCCTGCTGCAAAACCTTGGTGTGAATGTTTGGCCTAACTGTGCCAGGTGAGCAGACTCCAGGTTAGTTCAGAAACAGTGTGAAGTAGGTATTAAAATACAATAAAAGAGTAATTCATGATTCGTCTCCATTGTGATTTTTGAAAAATAATGCCAAATTTAAATTTAACCATAGAGAAAACAAACAAGTTATTTTCAGAAATAAGTTTTCAATGTTTTATCATATTTGATAGCAGCTTTTTTTATTGGTTACAAAACCTAAGCCCATATACAAAATTAGGAACACATTTAGATGCCTCTTTTGAAAGAACGTTTTAGTCTTTTTAAACTGAGTTTAAAAAAAATAAAAACAATGCAATTTTTAAACACTGTTTTGAAAACTTAAAAGTGCAGCAATATACTTAGTTTCCTTTATCTACGAAATGGTGCAATTCCAATTCAAAACTGGTAAGGTCACAACAAATTGAATCAAGGAAATGCATACAAATGTCTGCACTACTTGATGCTAATGTTCACTTAAATGTTAGTTTGCACTTTAAAACATGAAATAGGAATCATCACAGTAGAGGCCCAATTTTAATCATAATGTGTGCAAAATTTAAAAGGTAACTGTCAGTTAAGTAAGGAAAGTCCAAAAGAAACTAAACTGGAAGGGGTACAATTCACAATATCAAGAAGATTTGGACTTTAAGGGTTTCACCGAAGTCTGTGACCTTAATTAGCTTTCACATTGTTATTCCTACTTTTAGTGAACACCACGCAGTTTCAAAAATTTAGACTATAGTGTCCAAACAGGATGCAGTTACCATATGAAGCTTTAACTCAAAATTTGGATAAAGAAAAAAAGGCACAATGAACTTCAACTCAATTTTATGTGCACAAGAGTTGAAAAATCTGAGCCACCTTAAAGAGAAATTGATTCTAAAATTTATAAAACCTATAAATAATCAGAGGCCAAACCACTATATTAAAACAGATTCTCTAGCAAGTAAAAATCTTGCAGTTTAAACATACGCTTGTATCCACTTTAGATACAAGACAAAACTCACTCTTTAAAGTGGCTCCACCTTGGCAGATACATATAGTTGTAATGAATGCACACCTGCTATGTGTTGTTTATCAGTGAAAACACCCCAGCTGATTCACAAAGCTCTGATGGCATCTGTCTCATCTTCATCACAGTAAATACACCCCCCATGGATAACTAAATTAGTTTAGACTTTCTATCCCTTCACATCAATGCATTGGGAAATTATACCCAGTAAACAAGAGCAACAATACCATTTCTGTGACAGCACGAATTACTTAGTTTAAAAATTTTCAAATCCATATTCTTTCATTAATAATGGGGTCAGACAATTTACCAAAAGCAATGACTTGACATAGTAATACCAGATTTTGCAGAATTATTTAAGAGATCACTGCAAATCAGGTTTATGTTAAATAACTGCAAATCACTCCTCTACACAGATCCCTGTCTGAATCTTTTAATACGTGAAGATGCTTTTAGAGTAGGATCTGAATTAACTTTCCCAATACGCAAAGAATGAAGTCTTATGACACTTCTAAATAGTAGTTGCTGGTTTGTTGCCAACCACATTATCAAAAGCACTGGTTACTAAGTAAAAAATATTTTAAGACTAAATTACAGTAAACATGAAAGCTCCACAGTTTAAACCCAATATAAATCAACCATATCCAATTATCAAATGAAAACAAAGAATATTAACTCCTGAAAGCTGAAAGCAAGATTTTTTTAAAAACAATACCAATGGGTATTTTAGACTTTTGCAGGGGTTTTTTTTTGTTTTTTGTTTTGCTGTTTTTCCTTTATAGTCAGGAACTCTTGCTTTCAACTTAAACAGAAGTTCAAGTCCATAACAGGTTGCAGCTCAGGTAAAATACCATGCACAGCATTTGATTACTTCAAAACAGCAGGAACACACAGGCTGAAGAGAGTGGTCAAATAGGGCTTGCTGTTCTCAAAAATTAGGTATAATGGCAAAAGCATTAACATCCATATCTAAAGTTCTTCCTCCAACCCTGGCTTCTGAGGCAGATAATAAACACATCAATTACTGGTAGGTGAAGTACAGTTTTTTTTTTTTTTAAACTTATCTGTTTATTCAATAACCAAGTTTCTTGTTTTTAAGTTACTTTTTTTGTGTCAGTTCCACCAATGAAAATCATTTGGCTTGTACTTTAAAATCTATTCTTCCACATAAAGAATATGAAAATATGTTTGTGGAGGACAACGATGGAGGCTCAGATCACACTGCACCTCTTTAGTCTTCCAACTTGTATATGCATCATACCAAAGTGTCTTGATCCACAGCGCACCATTTTCCAAAGGAGTAACAGTGGGCAGCTGACATGTCACCACTATGGAATATTTATTCTAAACTGGAGACTGCAGTTGTCAGCCTGTGGCACCAGGGAACAGGGAAAAATAGGGTAGTTGAGATTGTTAAGGAGAGTTCTAAAACAGTTTAGGAAATCATGCATATGCATTTACAGTCCATGTGATAGTGACTTTTGGCAACTGCAAAGTGACTGAGACATGGCTTGCTTTAGAAGCATCAAAACAAAGAGGCATGTGTGTTTCAGAGCCTTTTGTTGCTGTTGTTGTTCTTATCATTTGGTAGCCATCTGGTGGTGCTTCATATTGAATGTGGGAAAGATGCTGCACTCAACTGAACTTAAAAATTAAATTCTTTTGTTTGAAGATTGGCTGTTGGATCAAAATTGTAAGTACCTCCTTGTGTTGCTTCAGGAATGAGGCAGGGATCTTCATCAATCTATAAAAAAACAAAACAAAAAAATCCTTATCAAGTTGTGATACTATACATTATGTTGTAAGTGGAATTGACTTTTTACCTCTTAACAAATACTTCTATGTGAATGCCTTAATCACCTAAAAATATTCTGGTAAATCAATAATAATTTGATTAAGAAATTTAATAATTTAAAATTAACACATTTAAAAACTGCCCCGTTCAATTTCTGTATCTGTAGATTTATTTAAGCTATCTGAACATATATCATTTATATAATTACTATTTCTTCCTAGTTAATAGATTACAAACAAGAACTGTTTTTACAAATTTACCTTATAACGTTTCAAAGTATTTAAGAGAAGTGACTGATGGAATGTCTAACAGAAATGTCATCCTACTAATAAAAGGAAAACTCTTAGTAAATTTACATTGTGTAAGAACAGAAAACCAAACACCGCATGTTTTCACTCATAGGTGGGTGATGAACAATGAGAACACTTGGGCACAGGGAAGAGAACAACACTTGCTGGGCTAGTTGGGCTGTGGAGGGGAGGGGAAAGATGGGAGGGCGGGAGGGATAACACAGGGAGAAATGCCTGATGTGGTAGGGGATGGAGACAGCAAACCACCATGGCATGTATGTGCCTATGCAAAAAGCCTGCAGGATGAAGGATGTACACATGTACCCCAGAGCGCAAAGTACAATTAAAAAAAAAAAAATTTACATTGTGTGTAGGTTTTCATTTACATGCAGACACACACTGTTTTAATGTCTACTTACATCATCACCAGAGAAATACTGATCTATGATTTCAAATGCTAATTTATATATGTCTTCATTTTCATGTTGCTGTAAAACTTCAATTTTCTCCAAACCTGGTAAGAATAAATTAATCAAAATAACTGGTTAATTGATAAGGAGATACTAATCAAAAGCATGCTCATTTTAATCATGGAGAAATCCTAAGGAACCCAAAACACCCTGCTCCCCCATCTAAGATGGTGGTTGGGGCTGCTTCTGGTTGGAAAACCAGCATCCCACTAACTTTTTTCCTTCTTAGAAGCCCTTGAAGTACCCGGATCCCTGAAGCAGGCAGTCTAAAAAACACCCAAACAGTCCATTTGACAGAGGGAAACTGTGGCATTGATACGTAAGGAAATTTATTTCAAGTTATAGGTTAAGTTTGTGAAATACTAGAACTGACTCCCCCAGACTGCTTTAATGTAATCTTACTAATCTTACTGTCTCATAAAGTTATTTTTAACTTTTTGTTTTCCAAATGTTATTATTTTTATATAAACACAGTTTTTAGAATGTTATAATTAATATAAATAAAAGATAATTTGAATTTTGAAAAACTTTCTTTAAAAAATGAATATAGGTCTTATGTCCTATAGCCACAATGAACCTGAGAGAAAATATTTCCAGAACAGATATCAGAGAATGCCTTTATTTATATTTCCAATATATTTACTCCATACACCATATACACAAGTTTATCAATTTCAAACCTTACTATTCTTCCTTGAAATGTCTTTTTGAAAGTTATTTTAGGCCGGAGGCAGTGCCTAACGCCTGTAATCCCAGCACTTTGGGAGGGTGAGGCAGATGGATCGAACCCGAGGTCAGGAGTTCGAGACCAGCCTGGTCAACATGGAGAAACCCCATCTCTACTAAAAATTAAAAAAAAAATCAGCTGGGCGTTGTAGTGGTCGCCTGTAATCCCAACTACTCGGGAGCCCGGGCAAGAGAACAGCTTAAACCTGGGAGTTTGAGGTTGCAGTGAGCTGAGATTACGCCACTGCACTCCAACCTGGGTGACAGAGCGGGACTCAGTCTTAAAAAAAAAAGTTATTTTTTAAAATAACTTTAAAATAGTTGCATTTTTTTTCCTTATACGCGAATAAACCAGAAGAATGGGGAAACCATTGCCAAAGAGAATGGATGTAAAGTGCTTTATACAATTATAAAATATTAATATGTATCCTAATTATTACTCCTATAGACAGAAGTAACTATACTGATAAAAAGCTGAAGACTAATATTTCTCTAAGTTACTCAAACTTACTGGGTTATGAACCTGACTACAATGGTAAATTTTAATTATTTAAAAATATTGTAAAAGCAGAATGAGCAGTGAATTAATAGTAAGAAGATCTGGATTTTAATTTTGCTTCTATCACAACCTACTTCTGTGACCTTGGACAAGACTCCTTAAAATCTCTGGAATAATTTCTTCTTAAGAAATCCTCCCGGCTGGGCATGGCGGCTCACGCCTGTAATCCCAGCACTTTGGGAGGCCAAGGCAGGCATTATCACCTGAGGTCAGGAGTTCAAGACCAGCTGACCAACATGGAGGAAGCCTATCTATACTAAAAATATCAAAAATTAGCCGGATGTGGTCGCGTATGTCTAATCACAGCTACTCAGGAGGCTAAGGTAGGAAAATCGCTTGAACCTGGGAGATGGAGGTTGCAGTGAGCCAAGATCGAGCCATTGCACTCCAGCCTGGGCAACAAGAGTGAAACTTGTCTCAACAAAAAAAGAAAAGGAAAAAATCCTCCCAGCCTGAGTATTCTAAGATCTTACTGCATTTGTTTTCTCTTAAAAAAAATAAACAGAAGGCTGGGCGCGGTGGCTCAAGCCTGTAATCCCAGCACTTTGGGAAGCCGAGGCAGGTGGATCACGAGGTCAACAGATCGAGACCATCCTGGTCAACATGGTGAAACCCCGTCTCTACTAAAACTACAAAAAAAAAATTAGCTGGGCATGGTGGCACGTGCCTGTAATCCCAGCTACTCAGGAGGCTGAGGCAGGAGAATTGCCTGAACCCAGGAGGCGGAGGTTGCGGTGAGCCGAGATCGCGCCATTGCATTCCAGACTGGGTAACAAGAGCGAAACTCCGTCTCAAAAAAAAAAAAAAATAAATAAATAAAAATAAAAATAAAAATAAATAAACAGAATAGTCATATAAAGTAGTAATGAAATGTAAAATCTAAAATATGACATTATGATAAACGAATTTAAGGTTTAGACATGTTAGTACATGTTAAACATGTACATTTAAAAATAGAATTTAAACATATATTTCACACGTCATTGCTATAGAAAGTATAATACAGTACTTCAAATCATAATTCTTTCTCATTAAAATTTCGAAGTAATGGCTGGGTGCGGTGACTCATGCCTGTAATCCCAGCACTTTGGAAGCCCAAGGTGGGCAGATCACAAGGTCAGGAGATCGAGACCATCCTGGCCAACATGGTGAAACCCCGTCTCTACTAAAAATACAAAAAAATTAGCTGGGTGTGGTGGCGCACGCCTGTAGTCCCAGCTACTCACGAGGCTGAGGCAGGAGAATTGCTTGAACCCAGGAGGCGAAGACTGCAGTGAGCTGAGATCACAGCACTGCACTACAGCCTGGGAAAAAGAAAAAGACTCAAACTCAAAAAAAAAAAAAAAAAAAAAAAGAAGAAAAAACTTCGAAGTAACTGCCACAGCAATAACTTCAGCCTGTAGTTGTGGCAATCATAAGAACCATTACAAGACTGAAACGACATATCTAGGTGACTCAGAAGTCAGTAACCTTTTCCAACTATATGAAATAGCATTTCCTAAAGTATCGTCTACAAAATAACATGGTAATAACACACAAAAAAGTGTTTCACTGTTAAGGAGTTTGAGAAATGCTGGATTAAATAAGCCTTTAAAATTTATGTAGTGGTTGTAAGGGTTCTTGATTTGCCCTCATGCACTGTGACTTCAAGAGAAGTATTAGTGTTTCCTAAAAAGCAATGTCAGGCTGGGAATGATGGCCCATGCCTATAATCCTAGCACTTTGGGAGGCCAAGGCAGGCAGATCACTTGAGGTCAGGAGTTCAAGACCAGCCTGGCCAACATAATGAAACCCCGTCTCTATTAAAAACACAAAAATCAGCTGGATGTGGTGGTGTGCACTGGTAATTCCAGCTAACTGGGAGGCTGAAGTGTGAGAATCGCTTGAACTCAGGAGGCGGAGGTTGCAGTGAGCTAAGACTGTGCCACTGCACTCCAACCTAGGCGACATAGCAAGATTTTGTCTCAAAAAAAAAAAAAGGCAATGTCAATCTCCAGAAGGTTATATAGTGACCTTCACAACCAGTTTTTGCAAAGTATGGACTACTATCTTCTGGAAAATCCCCTTGGAATGCTAACATAGTGAATAAAGTAAAGCAACATAGTGTGATCGTTTAAAAACAACATATCCTAGTAATTTTCTAATACACTGACTTTAAAGAACTCATATTTCAGAGTTCCAGTGCTCAAATACTTTCAAAGACTTTTCTTCAATCAATCCACTCTTACCTCCACATTCCTCTATTATTTCAGCTATTGTGCTTGCTTCATCACCAGCCATTATCAGAATGTTTTTCAGACCATCTAGAACCACCTGAACCACTTGAGAATCTTTCACTGATAGTAAATTACAGAATGGTGGTATTACATTCTGCTGTACAAGGTACTCAACCTAGACAACAAAAGAGAAGACATATTTTTATTTATATAATTATCTATTTCCCAGCAGGGTGTGTGGTAGTGTGCACCTGTAGTTCCAGCTACATGGAAGGCTGAGACAGGAGAATATTTTGAGCCCAGAGTTGGAGGCTGTAGGGCATTATGATCATGCCTGTGAATAGCAACTGCACTCTAGCCTAGGCAACATAGCTAGACTTCATCTCTTAAAATAATAGTTATCTTTTCCCCCAAAATAACACAATACAAAGCTTAAAAACAGTCAGCAACTACTAAACATCAGAGAGTAGAGTGCTTTCCAATATATTAATAATCATGACAGTTACAGGTTTTCAAACTCACCTGATCTTTTCTGCCACTTATTGTTAAGTTGCTGATTGCCCAAGCAGCTTCTTTTTGTGTTCCAAAGTCCCCCTGAAGGTTAAAAATGAGATCATAAAATGGATTCTTTATCCAAAAAGTCTTGGTTATAACAGATTAATAGACATGGTGAACTCATAATATGACCAACCTTAGCAAGTTGATGAATAATCATAGGAATTAATCCAGCATCTATTACAGCTTGAACTTGTTGTTGGTTGCCTGCTGTTATGTTGGAAAGGAACCACACTGCTTCCTACAATTGAACAAAATATAGGGCATCTTTATTTGAAAAAAATACCTTTAATGCCTTTCCATTTTAATATATTTTATGTAGACGATAAAAAAGTCACCTAAATTATGTTAAAGAGACTGAATCTAAAAAGTTATCACGTATACAAACTCTCCCATTTTAAACAACTTATAAGGAAATTTCCATCAATTATATTTGGGCCCCAATAGCCTGGCATTTATTTATTCATTAATATATAGGCCTACTATAAGCTAGGCATTATTCTAGGCAATGGTGATACAAAAATGAATGAAACAGATAGAAATCTTTCCTCTTGGAGCTTATATTTCTGTGCATTAGCTTCCTCTAAAAGATAGAAATAAATATGCAACTGAATTTCTAAAACTACTTAAAAACTACTTCTCATAAAGGTGAATTTTTTTATTTTAAAAGCATTTAGACACAAGATATAGTCATTCAACTATTCCACACAAATTAACCATCTAACTAATCTAGAATGGGTCTATATAACAAATATTCTAAAACCACAGAATTTATAAGTCATAAACAAACATGTTTAGTGAGCTGTTTACAGGTTAGTATCACACATGTATCTTCCCTTCCACAGCTGAATTTATTTTGCTACCCAACTATGGTAAGATGTTAATAACTGGTGAATCTGTGTTTAGAGTATATGGGTGTTCACTATACTATTCTTACACATTTCTTGTAGATTTAAAGAGTTTCAAACAAAAATGCTGAGGAAAGAAAATCAAGTTGGTAACTTGTACTTCCAGGGTCCCACGATGGTCTCAAGATCCAAGAAACAAATTTTCAAGGCAAAAAATTTTTGAAGTAACTAATTGGTTACTGAAGCTAAGAAAGCATTTCTATGACCCTTTCTCTACTCCACGATACCCTCACTTAAAAGCATATTGCATCACAGGCCAGAACCTTTCTCTGCTGACTTCTGCCCAGCTTCCTCACTTCTCAGTTGTTTCCAATTATGGAATATATTCATTTAGCTAAAAAAAAAAAAAAAAAATCACCTATATTGTTAAAAATTTCTATAGTAAAAATAACTGGCCCAGAGTCTGATAGCCTTTGGCTTCTTTCTCTTCACTGGAACAAATGTGTCTATAAAATGTGATTTTTGACAACATATTTTTCTATAAGAACCCAACAGTCAAATAATACTCAAGCAACTATATAAACATAGTTATGACAAAGAAGAAATGATCAGTTCTGCTGTGTTTGGGTGATAGTAGTATTTTAGGCAGATAAAACTTCAGAAAATTAAATGTAAATTTAAACCACAACAAGACACCACTTCACATCTACTAGGATGTCACTAATAATTTTTTTAAATAGAAAATAATAAGCATTGGCTAGGATGTAGAGAAATTAGAATTCTTATTGCTGGTGGGAATGTAAAACAGTGCAGCTACTATGGAAAACGTTTTGGTGGTTTCTCAAAAAGCTAAACCCAGAATTATCATATGATGGAGCAATTCTACTCTCAGTTATATATCCAAAGAAATTGAAAGCAGGAACTTAGATATTTGTATGCCATTGTTCATTGCAGCATTATTCATAATAGTGAAAAAGTGGAAACAACCCAAGTGTCCATCAACAGTAGAATGGATAAACAATATGTGGTATATACATACAATGGAATATTTATTCAGCCACAGAAAGAATGAAGTTCTGACGCATGCTGCAAAATGGATGAACCTTGAAACATGCTAGATGAAATAAGCCATAAAGACTTATTACATACTAAACCTTGAAACATGCTAGATGAAATAAGCCATAAAGACTTATTACATACTAATAAGTACATATTACACAATTAATAATAAACTTGTCTATCAAGCTTGAAATCTTAAAGAGTAATTGTTTATGATCCTTGAATTTAGGCAGTTTGTCTTTGGGTCCAATCTAATTTTGCTGGGAGATCAAATTATGATCTGTTTAAAAAAAAATACCAGCCCATTCAAATGGCAGATTTTGTCTGCACTTTCACCTAGCGGCTACTAACTTAATGATTGCTGCTATGCTCAGTCTATTTAAATAAAAACATAGGCAGTCTAAAAATGTGTTTTACTCTGTGATGATTGGGGCAGCACCCACCAGAAGCAATTAAAAGTTCAAACAAAACAACTGCAGAGGTGATTTAAAATAATTCTCATCTTCACTGCAGTGTTTTTTTTAAAAAAAAAATAAGTAGCAATAGAAACAAGGAGACAGTTAAAAACGAGATACAGAAAGAGAAAGAAATAGCACGATGAGGGCATTATATGCCTTACCTTATTTATCTTCTCTTTTGGGTGTGATAAGAGATTTGGGAAGTGTGACAGGACATCACAATTGAGAACAACCTGGGTCTGCTCGTCAGTGCCAGTCACTATGTTGCCAACTGCTCTGAGGGCTGCTGTCTAGATTGGGGATAAAATGTTTTCTACACATTTATTTGTTTATGATAAGACTGATTCTATATTTTTCATAATCCTGAGAAAGTAAAAATGCAAGGGTGAAATGATTAACTTATTTCATACTTTTACAAAGCATCAAGCAGTCTGACAGCAATTCTGAATTTTAAATAGTCTCTTCTAAAAAACTGAAACTTTATGAAAAAAAAAAAGTGTGAAAATTGGTTGAAAAAAGATTCAAAAATAAAAGGAAATTAAAATTTTGGAAGTCTAATTTCTTAAGGCTGGGCCTGGTGGCTCATGCTTGTAATCCCCACACTTTGGGAGGTCAGGGCGGGCGGATCACCTGAGGTCAGGAGTTTAAGACCAGCCTGGGCAACATGGTAAAACTCCATCTCTACTAAAAATACAAAAATTAGCTGGGTGTGACAGTGCATGCCTGTAATCTTGCTACTCGGAAGGCTGAGGCAGGAGAATCACTTGAATCTGAGAGGCAGTGAGAAGAGATAGTACCACTGTACTCTAGCTTGGGAAACAGGGCAAGACTCCATCTCAAAAAAAAAAAAAAAAAAAAAAAAGCTGGGCACGGTGGCTCACGCCTGTAATCCCAGCACTTTGGGAGGCCGAGGCGGGTGGATCACGAGGTCAAGAGATCTAGACCATCCTGGTCAACACGGTGAAACCCCGTCTCTACTAAAAATACAAAAAATTAGCTGGGCATGGTGGCGTGTGCCTGTAATCCCAGCTACTCAGGAGGCTGAGGCAGGAGAATTGCCTGAACCCAGGAGGCGGAGGTTGCGGTGAGCTGAGATAGAGCCATTGCACTCCAGCCTGGGTAACATGAGCGAAACTCCGTCTCAAAAAAAAAAAGAAAGAAAGAAAGAAAAGAAAAAAATATTTTAATAAAGGCCTGGTATGGGCACACATTTCCATCCAGAAAGTCACTTTGGTATAAGCAGGATAAACAGATCTATCAAGTGCCTACCCCTAATTAGAGTGGGAGTGAGAAAGAGGAAGTGCAATTAGGAGGCTATTGCAATTATTTGGGAGAAAGATAATAAGTCTTAAACTAAATCAGTGGTTCTAGATAGATAGAGACAGATTTGAAGCTATGTAAGAATAATTGAAATGATTTTGTAAAGAAATGGGAATTGTAAGGAGGAATCAAAATTTCTAGCTTAAGCCATGCTGTTCACTGAAAGCAGACAAGGAAGAAGAGCAGGTTTGGGGGAAATGATCATTTCCTTTCTGTCTAGTTTATCATGGAAAGTTTTAAGGAGTTCTTAGATGATATGTATAAAGGGTCAGAACAATTGGCTATACAGGTCAGGAACTCAGCAAAGAATCTGGGTGAGATTAAGATTTGGAAATCAACAAAATCAGGCTCAGGGGATTAGCAGAAGAAATCGAAGATAAGCACTTGTAATAGAGTTAAAGCCTAGTTGTACAAGTTAACTGGTTCTAACAAACACAATTCTATACAAATAAGAAACATTTAAAAATACTTACTTGAACTTTGACTTCCTGATGACTCAGAAGGGGCACAAGAAATGGCACAACCCCTGAATCGATAACCATCTGTATCTGCTCATTACCTCCATCTGTCAAGTATGACAGAGCCCAAACAGTGTCTACAAGAATCTACAGGAAACACAAAAGAAAAAGCAGTTTACACATTTGTTTGAATGCTTTAAATGTATAAGACACCTCGGTAGCAGTGACAGAAAAAGTTATCAAATTTCACGTTTTAGCTTAGTGGCAAAAATATCTGCTTAACTGATTAATCTATTAAGTAGCAAGTACTTTCTCTTTCTCTCAATGCCTACCTCTGAGTGAGACACATAAGTCCGGGAAAACTTCCATCCCAGCTTCTAAATTTATGTATCAGATAGATGAATTTTAAAACAGGCAGAAAGTAATCCTCCCTGCCCTCACAAATTAGCTACCCGACAATCACACAGAAAAACACTATATATAAGAATGAGGCCAATATACCACGCTGTTTCAAGTTCAGAAGAGAACAGAAAGGTCATCTATCTACTGGTTTTCCAACATTAGCAATACTATTTTTCAGACTACTAAAGTAAACTAATAAAAGAAATGGCTTGGCACTTTAACTTCATCTGGGGAAAAAATTGTTGGAAAATCTCCTGAAATGTGTCCCCAGCTGAAAAGCCTGGATCATAAGCCATGCCCTATCCCCATCCTAACTTTGCAAATACATAAAAGAAAATAGGCTCAGAGATCTGGTGATTCATTCAAGTCAAAGATCTTGTATGTGGCTTTGCTTGGTGTTGTCACAAAGGAATATAAGCACTGGTTATAGCTTATGTGAAATCATGATGTTTCCTATTAGGCCACATCTTTTTGCCCTAAAAAAAAAATAGCAGGCACGTGAATTCACATACCCTTTAAAAAGGCAAATAAATGAATAAGAATAAAATAAAACAGGGCCAGGTGCAGTGGCTCACGCCTATAATCCTAGCACTTTGGGAGGCTGAGGCAGGAGGATCACCTGAGGTCAGGAGTTCCAAACCAGGCTGACCAACAGGAAAAACCCTATCTCTACTAAAAATACAAAAAACATTAGCTGGGCGTGGTGGCGCATGCCCGTAATCCCAGCTACTCAGGAGGCTGAAGCAAGAAAATCACTTGAACCCGGGAGGCAGAGGTTGCAGTGAGCTGAGATCCCACCATTGCACTCTAGCCTAGGCAACAAGAGTGAAACTCTGTCTCAAAAAAATAAAATAAAACTACACATATAACCCACACCCCTTTAGCATTACTAAGAGTCAGAGAACACTAAGAATTTTCATTATCTGTAGGAGGAGAAAAAATTAAATTCTAGCTTTTGTCTGGATATCTTGAGGCAAGATTCTGTATAAGAGAGACCAGAGAAGGAGAGAGGGCAGTCCACTTATATGGCCTGCAAAGCCTGAAATATTCTCTGAACCTTTACAGAAAATTTTGCTGATCTCTTAACTAGAGCATAGCCTCATTCAACAGATGACTAGGGAAGCTTCGGCAACAGGACTGATAAATGAGCATTTAATACATTTAATTGTACATCAAGGACAAACACAGCAATAGAAAGAACGAAGTTCTGACACACGCTGCAAAATGGATGAACCCTGAAAACATGCTAGATGAAATAAGCCATACATAAATATGTATTACATACTAATAAGTACATATCACATGATTAATAATAAACTTGTCTATCAAGCTTGAAATCCAAAAAAGTAATTTTATATGATCCTTTAATTTAGGTACTTCATCTTTGGGTCCAATCTAATTTTGCTGGGAAACTACCAAATCTTCAAAGATCAGATAGATTTGATTCTATATAAATCATTCCAGAGTACAGAAAATGAAGGAAGCATAACATTAACACCTAAACTTTAATAAAACAATAAAAGTATAAATTAATACCTAACAAATTATGATTATCATGCCATTATTTATACTATAATTAAAATTAATATTAATATTCATAATTAATGTAAATTATTGCCTAAAAGAACAAAAGCTAAACTGCAAACCAGTATCACTTATGTGAATGCGAATGTAAAAATCTGAAATATTATTAAACAGAATCACTTACTATAATGAGAAACTAATATATAATGATCAAGAGATTATTCAAAGAATGGAAGGACAGTTCAATTTTAAAAACATCATTAATATAAGTTTTATTAATAATTTTAAGGAGAAAAATAATAGAATTTTCTCCATATCACCCTGAAAAATTCATCACATCATTTTTTCAGTGTTCTTGATTAAAAAAATAAAAGGAATTTATAGATATTTCTCTAAATAAAATATCTCTAGATCAGACAAAATGTAGATACAATTTTAAAAAGATAGATGAATTTGATTATAAACAAAAAGTTCACCTGGCAAAACATCACAGTCAAAGTCAAAAGACAAACTAGGGAAGTATTTAAAATATGGAAGAGCTAATATACTTAACATATAAATAACTCTTGCTGGGTGCAGTGGCTTACGCCTATAATCCCAGTACTTTGGGAGGCCGAGGCAGGCGGATCACCTGAGGTCAGGAGTTCGAGACCAACATGGCCAACATGGTGAAACCCCCTCTCTACTAAAAATACAAAAATTAGCCAGGCGTGGTGGCAGGCACCTGTAATCCCAGCTATTCAGGAGGCTGAGACATGAGAATAGCTTGAACCCTGGAGGTGGAGGTTGCAGTAAGCTGATATTGTGTCATTGCACTCCAGCCTGGGGGACAGAGCAAGACTCCATCTCAAAAAAAACAAACAAACGAAACAAAACCAAAAAAACAACAACTCTTAAAACCTAAGAAAAAGACTAAAAATTCTATAGAAAAACAGTTAAAATATGACCAGTCTGTTCACAAAGGTACAAATTAAAATGGCCCTTAAACAAATGAAATAATGTTAAACTTGATTCATAAAAAGTAAAATGCAAATTAAAAGATACTATTTCTCACCTATCAGATGAGCAAAATTTTAAATGTGACAACACTCTCTACTGGCAAGGATACCGAAAAAGTCACTTTCATTTTTGAATTACATACAGTAAGCTATGCATCACTGCATATGTAACAGATAAAGAATTCAAAAAATGCCATTTAAAACTGTCAAAACAGTAAAAAAGAAAAGATGTAAGAATAAAGGTAACGACTAGAATAAGAATACAAACCTTCCTAAATACCAAGGCAAAATGGCACAATCCTTAAGCAGGGAATTTGGCAGTATGCAACAAAATTACAAATACATTCACTCTTTGACCCAGCAATCCTGCTTCGAAGAATACACCCTGAAGATGTACCTCCAATAATATGAAAACACATAATGGTCATTGGTATAATACTTTTACATTTGCAAAATTCAGAAAATAGCCTAAATGCCTAACCTTAATAGTGTGTTTATGTCCACAAAACAGAATCCTGTGCAAAATGACACGATTCCCTAAGATGTTTCTCCATTACATGGTCCCTACTATTAGTAGGAAGTCATTTTTTTTCTAAGATAATAATGAAACTGTAGACTGAGATTAATTAATGGTTTTCAGTGGGGTCTCCATGACAATATCTCAAAGGCTGGGAGAAAGTAAGCTACCGCTGGGTCTTAGGCACCCTGAAACTGCAGACATTTGCAGTCTTTAATTTTTTATTTTTAGAGATGGGGTCTCAGTGTGTTGCCTAGGCTGGACTTGAACTCCTGGGCTCAAGTGATTTTCTTGCCTCAGCCTTCTGAGCAGCTGGGACTACAGATACTGCCTGGCTTAATTTTGTTTTTAAATATATTGGGCCTTAATAGAAATTTTCACTTAAAAAAAAAAAACGCTTTAAAATTTGAAATCCACAGCACAGGATTATTGGGCCATTCCAGCTTCTTTTAAATTTGCTTTCCTTATCTCCATCATCAGGCTAACACTGCTCAGTCTTTGATGCTTGTAATTTTACCTGTTGCTGTCTTTTCCCACCTGAGCTGCTTCTGCTATTTTATACTTTCTTCTCCTACTATTCTTTTTTCTGTGTTTTCCCTATTTCTTGATTTCTATGCTAAAGTTCCTGGCTTTTATGGCCACTAATAGTCAATAATAGTCAATGACTAATAGTCAATGAGAATACTCTTTTCCTTCTAGTTAATAATCTGATTAAAATCGTGTGCCAACAAGGTCTTCAGTAATCAGGGTCTACTTTGTGTCTGCTTTTCACTGCTAGAAAGCTTTAGGACTTGTAACCTCAGCAATATTTCACACTTGAAGACTGCTAGAAAACTGCTTTCTAGACACATGCACACACGTATGCTCTAGATTGACAACTCTATAGGGTCCTTTTTTGGGGGGGGGAGATGGAGTCTTGCTCTGTCGCACAGGCCAGAGTGCAGTGGCACAAACTTGGCTCACTGCAACTTCTGCCTCCCAAGTTCAAGGGATTCTCCTGCCTCAGCCTCTGAGTAGCTGGGGGTACAGGTGTACACTGTCACGCCCGCTTAATTTTTGTATTTTAGTAGAGACGAGGTTTCAGCGTGTTGCCCAGGCTGGTCTGGAACTCCTGAGCTCAGGTAATCTGCCCGCCTTGGCCTCCCAAAGTGCTGGGATTACTGGCGTGAGCCACCATGCCTAGCCTACAGGGTCAATATTTTAAACTAACAATCTTGAAAACTTGTGTTATGTGAGCCAAAGGAAAATCTCTAGCAAACAAAAGTCTTAAAATAAGTATATGGGCAGTTATACAAGCTTCGGTGATTATTGTCACCTCCAGTAAATATGCTAACAAATTATGTCCTGTTAGGCAACATTACTGGAAACTACTACTAAGTATAGTACTTCACAGAAGAGTAGATGTCTACAGAAAGTCCATGGAGTGTTAACTTCACACAGGCTTCAAAGAGATAATTAGAGGTGAACTAAGTTACAATTGAATACTTACACTTGGTCCTGTTATTCAGTAAAGGGTAACTTGGTGGGCACTGGGTGCTCAAATCCTGCACATTACAAGGAACTGCCAGATAATGTGTGAACCCTCAGAATATCCTGCCTGATAAAAATACCTGTGTATACCTGACACCTTGGCAGCACCCAGTATAATTTAAAATGGCAAACACCTCTTTTTGTTTTCCTGTGCCCTGGGCCGTGCTGTATCAATT